CTATAAAAATCTTGAATTTATTATATGTGAATACTTTTACTTAGAGATGAGTGGATAAACTAATATTCTGATTATGGTTCCAAAAATTGGAATCGAATAGAATCAAACAGAATCGCATGAGGTTCAGAACACTATTAAAAATGATGGTGGAGTATACCCCACCTATTAAATTTAATATAAATTTGAGAATCGAATACAGAATCGAAGAGAATCGTTAGAATCATTAATTCTGATCTATTGATATAAACATATAATTCTTTTTATTAATTAAATATCTGAAACAATACTCTCAAATATATCAACAAATTTTTAGGAATTTTTGAAGAATTTTGCTTACTTCAGTTTGACCTTGAAATTTTTGTTATACCAGAATCTCCAATTGATAATTAATTGAGATTTTGGATTAACCAATTAATATATAACAGAAAGATAAACAAGATATATACTTCTTACATATTTTTTGTTATATAATAAAACAATTATAATACAATTGAAAAAAGCAGAAAAAAAAATATCATGATGTTCTTTTAAATAGAAATAATTTGATAACACTCCTTTTTTCTCTTGTTTTAATTTTATTTCTCTTCAAAATTAAGATATTCCATTCCAATTCAGCAAGAAACTTCTTCTATTATTGATTATTCTGAGAAAGTATCAAGCAATAAAATAAAACTTGTCTCAAGTAATAATTTCCAATATATGATTTTCAATAGATATAAGTTTTGTTTTAAGCAATATGTAAGTCTTGCTATAAATACTTTAAACATTTTTGATTAACAATGATACAATAGAAATTAAATAGTTTGTCCAGTTGCAAATAATAGTAAAGGATTTATTCTGATAGATTGATTGATATTGAAAAGTTTTTATTTATCAAGACAAACTCTTCAAATATATATATTTTTATATATTTTTTAGAATTATAGGGTTATAGTGAAATAATAGTCTAAATATAAATTGGTTTTGATTTTTTAAAACTACTAATTTAATTTCTAATCTTGAAAAGAAACAATTTTTATTATTTTCTATAATCATATTCAAAAAATTTAGATAGATTTAAAAAGTTTAAGATAGTTAAGATCATATAATAATAGTTTAATAAATATATTTTCTTATAATAAAATAGTTAGTAAATAATTAAATTATGTAAACAACATGGTAGTTTTAATATTAAGAATTTAATAATTATGTACAAATATAAAATAATTTGTTAACAAATATTTTATAAATAGAGTTAGTTTAGCTTTAGTATAATATCTTATTGTATATTATATTATTGTTCTAAAAATTAAATTAATAAATATTAAGATTTATAATCTAATTAGTAACAAAAAACTAATAATTTTGTAAAAAAAATCCTAAATAATAAAAAAACTTTTTTTTAAATATATTTATTTTATTAAAAAAATTTTTTAATAGTAATTTTAAGCAAGAAAAATATTTTTTATTTTTTATCTCAAGTAAGTTTTAACTTAAAAATTCAAGAACTTTCAAAACAATTGATATAGTGAGATAGAACCTGGTCAAAATCTACTTAGATTTGAAAATCTTGTTTACTTTTTGATTATATAAGAAAAAACCTGTAACAATTTTTTATTCTTTTATTCTCTTATATTTTTCTTACTTTTATTCTATTATAAAAATTATTTATATTATTACTATTATACTTGTTAAATCAAATACTTTTTAAAATATATACTTAAATGAATTTAGTGGATTTACTACTTATTTCAAGTCAATTCTTAAATTCAATTTTACCATAATAATACTTGCTGTATTACTTCAAATTTTTCAATATTTTTATTTAATCAAAAAATCAAAATCAGTTTATCTTTTCAAATTATTAGTATTTTTCAATTATTCAATTAGATTTTGTTTAAAAATTAAAACAAAAATTAAATCTATTTAAACTGGTTTTGTATTATAACAACAATTACAATTATAACAATAACATCAATTGCATTAATATTAACAATTATAACAAACAATATTATATATACTTTATTATCTATAATAATCAAAAAGCTAGAAAAATAAAATAATAAGTTTGGTTAAGTATTCTTTTGAAAATATAATTTTTTCTTATAAATTTTATAATTTATTTGATTTTGTTCTAGTTTTAGCTATTTTTATTTTTTATTTTTTCAAATTTTTTATATATCTTAAATATATTTTTTTAAGTAGATAAGTATAACTACTATTTGATCTATATTTGGCAACAATATTGTATTAAAATTTCTTTTCAGTATTAGCTATTTATAATATTAGTAGGTAGGCTAATATTTAATTTGTTATATACTTTGTATTTAAAAGATGTTTTTTTTTAAACATATATTTTGTAATATATGAATAAATAAAGAAATAGTATTTATTTATGGAAAAAAAATTTTTTTAAATTTTTTTATTTTTAATTTTTATTATATATAAGTTTTGAGTTTTTAATTAGTTGAAAAAATCTTATACACAAGTATTGCTTAAATTAATTTTGTTACAAGAAATTTGTTATTACTTAAAAAAAATAAAAAAAAAATTTCAAGCAAAGGAACATAAGTGGAAGAGTTTTTTTTTTTTGCAAAAAAGTTTTATTATAAAAATATATAATTTTTTGAAAATATTAATTATCAAAAAGAATTTTTTATTATTTAATTTTTTTTGAATATAATTAATTTGTAATAATTTAAAAAATACTTGAATATAATTTAATAAAACATTTGTTAATTTTGAATAAAAATAAATTATATTTTTTTTAAAAAAAAAAACATTTTTCAATTTCAAATTATTAATATACATGTATATTGAAATTCAAGCTTTGAATATGGATATGTCTTTAATAACTAGATAAGTGGAAAATCTGATTATTGGATTTTCTATTGGTAATTTTGACCTATTATTGTATGCCAATTTATTGATTATCGCACACGTTGCATATACTGTATACAACAAATAATAGATATTTTACCAATCATTAAAAGACGTATTTTTTATCATAAATGCATCCAGGTAATAAATAAGTGTTATGTGTGATGATAATAAATACAGTATATGCAATTTAACATCTATGATAACGGTATATCTTATTAAATTTCTGAATCTTATATTGAGAAAATGAAACGTAAACCAAACGTAATAGAACGGTGTACGAGTTATGCCACCTTTGAGTTAATTTCATAAGATGCTGTGTGTGTGTTGTTCAGCCAAAAAAGGAGCAATTGAGAATTCTAATTAAATTCAGTATTTACATACAGCATGTAATGATGATTAAGCAAGTTTGGAGTCACAAATAACGGTTAGGTTGTGACGCCAAGAAAAATTAAATGTTATCTTCGGGAGTTTATGTTCTCAAAAATTTTATTTAGGAAGATCGCGGTGTATTCGGCATTTAATTAATAATTGTTTTCATGTTCTTCATTACATCTTAATCCAGCCTTTCTCGTGCGACACAACTCCGACCGAGGATAAGACAAAGAAAAGGGTTTCGCATCTTTCTCAATTCAGAATCATTATCGTTGTTAACGAAATGCACTTGTGTTCACGCTGTTCATAATCATTGTTTCAAAAAAGGAAGGTAATTTTCTTAACGTTTATAATGGATTTTACGCCAATTGCACAAAGTTTGCTAACGATAAGACGGAAAAGTACATCTTGTTGGCCTATTCAATTGCTGTTTAATAAGAGAATAATAACGCCTCCTGTTATCGATAGCAAGCAATACGGACCGAGTATAACTTACAGAGTACGTCAATTTTTTGTTAATGCTTAGGCAAACATCCGATTTGATAAAGAATTGATCAAAGAGTATTTGGAAGACAAAGAAAATTGAAAACGCATACCTGGGTTAGACAAGGCAGGTTCCAATTGTTTTTGTTTGGAAAGTCCTGAGTTATCAAATCACACAAGACAAATTAAGAATGTCGTTGGGTGCTTCGCAAAACGACGCAACTACAAAACGCCTCCATTGTCGTACTCGGAATAGAATTGTATAAATTTGGATGACAAATCATGACCTCTCGAGAACAATGGGTTAAAAATTATCGGTTTGTATTGAAGATGTTGTATCGCGTATTCTCATGAAGAGAATGGTGATAACCTTGTACTTTCTTGATGAGAAAATGAAAGTGAGATGTTGTGTACGTTTTATCTTAGGAATGAATGAAATGCTGTGTATGCATTTCAGTACGTGCGAAGACGGTTTTTGATCATCAATTACTTAACGAATGTTCAAAATCACCGGATTACAATTTTGGAGAACAAGAGAATAATGGTGGTGATAGTGTAAAAGTTGAGTCTGACACCGATATAATAATTATTTCATTGCTATCATCACCTATCACAGAATCACAGAAAAAAAAACAAAAATCACGGACGATGTGATCTTTCAAACAATGCCCTTGACCTTGTTTAAGGATTAAATGTGGTAAACAATTCATTATTATGCCGAAACGCCAGATCTGAGTTTGTTTTCGCTTAATGATTAAACTTGGGTACAGTACATGACATTCAAAGGTCGAGTGTTTATGCATGAAATAAGCCACATCGGAGTAATTGATGCATAAATCTATACATTACAAATCAAGTAAAATTCTCTATGTCTGTGCAATCGTGTGGCATTCGGTTTTGACTTTTTATAACGGGGATAAATTGCAATGATAAATTAAGCTTTACCGGTGATTTAATTTACCCTACTGTCTAAACCAAAATCGGTTCGACCATATAACCTTATGATCATCACTTCCCATTGGATGTAGAATGAGACGCCGCCGTTTGCCTATTTGAGAATGCCATCTTGACAAACGCGTCAAATGACGAAAATCCTTTGAGGTTCATCAAAAGATCTGGGTACACACAATAATCGGTCAAGGTCGATTGAGGGTCGCGTTTGTCAATAGTTGAGAGAGAACGCCTAACGTTCTACGGATAAATGGAAGTTGAATCAACAAGTGTAAAAAAACCCATATATATATATATATATACTGTATATACTCATCACTCAAGATTAGCATATGAAGGTTCTCGTTGAACAAATCATCAATTTGGAATTAAGGCTTGCTTCAACTATTTCCCTGTTTCCCAGCTTTGTCTTGACAATATGTTCTTACTCTTGCCGCCTAACATCATGTGCGTGTTCTCAAAACGCCATTCCCTCATTTCCCAACTCATATATAATGTACGGATGTGCTATTATTCATAAAATTGGGAAAGTGGCGGATCGGGGAATCGTCGAAATCACATCACCGCGTCCATCGTTGATGACAATCTCTAATGATCAACTTTTACCCAAATTAGTCAGGGTCGGGTCGGGAATTAAAAAATCTCGTAAAAGGATGGATGCGCGAATCTCGAGCAAGGGTATGTGCTTTAAGATTGCCTCACCTAATGGGATTTGCATTTTAACAATATGAGAATGTGTTTCTTGATCACATGTTTTCATCATTGTGTTATCCAAGCGAGGACGTCAATCAATCTTGAATTAACCTGTTACAAAAAGCTGTAACGCTGCAATGTAGATCTTTGTCATCTTTAGTTAGTAATGTTATAAATTGTTTCTGAGACGTCGGTTCGTAAAAATCCAAAAAATGTCACATTACAATTCGAATAATTCTATGAACAAGGTTACTTATCAAGTACACTCTAATCAACCATCAGGTTTACCGAGTGAATATAAGTTATTTGTTAAACCTTCCCAAGGCAGTGGACATGAGTATGAGGCATCACACTGCACCGGAAAGAAGAAGGCATTGTTGATTGGAATTAACTACGTGGGAACGGAATTTGAGTTGAAAGGTAATCATCTTATTGAGGTCGAGTTTTATTTTTTCTTTTTTATCGATAGAAGCGTTGTCTGCAAACTTAAATCATTTCTTATCACCTCGTTATCAAACAGGATGTTTCAATGATGTTTACAGGATCAAAAAATTCCTGACTGAGCACTACGGTTTCAATGAATCCAACATAGTCACGTTGATGGACGATGGTCGAAAGGATCCTGATACAATTCCTACCCGAGAAAATATTACCAGGCACATTAAAAAGTTGATGGAGAATCCTCAGAAACATGATTCGTAAGTTTTTTCCCGTCATCATTTTATCTTTACGAATTAGACTTTCTTCTAAATTATTTTGTGAAAAAAAAGTTTTTGCTCAATCCTTACTTTATCAAAATAGCTACTTCTTCCACTATAGTGGTCATGGTGGTCAATTGGTGGATGAGGATGGTGATGAAGAAGACGGTTTCGACGAAACCATTCTACCCCTGGATTGGAAAGTTAATGGACATATTATTGATGACGTAAGTGGGTTTTCTCACGTATCCATATAATTGAAAGTTGTTGTCATTTCCACATTTTGATACGCCGCGTCCGATAGGAATTACACAAGCTGTTGGTGGATCCTCTTCCTTCTGGTACGAATTATCATCATACTCTCACCAGAAACTCACTCGCGTCGACTCACCTTAACCAATCAATCATTCTTCTTCTCATATAGGTGTTCGCCTGACTGTGGTATTCGACTCTTGTCACTCTGGTACTGTGCTTGATCTGCCATATATCTATTCTACCCGTGGTACGATCAAAAGACCTACAGTAATAGCGAAAGGTTTACATGCAGCCCTTAACGCCGGAGCAAAATACTTACAGGGCGATACCCAGGGCATTAAGGATTCCATGAAATCATTGGTCACCGGAGCTTTCTCAGGACAGAAGATTCGTAGGAAGGCTTTGGAAACGAAATCAAGTCCGGCGGATGTCGTTATGTTTAGCGGGTTAGTAAGAGGAGGTTCTGACGTGTGCATGCATATTTTCTGTAATATGTTTGGTTTGATCTACCTTTTGTTAATTTCGTAGTTGTAAAGATGAACAGACTTCGGCTGATGCAAACGAGGGTGGGGCATCTAGCGGTGCAATGTCATATGCATTAGTTCATTCGTAAGTCATTTCAAATATGTCAATTAAATCTGGTGTGGATTTGTCTTGTTCATCCATTTTTTCAATGCATTTTAGGCTAGAAAAAAATGATCATCCAACATACCGAGATTTGTTGAACGCCATTCGAGACATACTTCATTCGAAATATGTTCAGAGACCTCAACTTAGCGCGTAAATATTGTCCATTTGTAAAATTCGTTATTCTTATTACACGGTTTAAATTTCTGTTCTTTAAATAGGTCACACGAAATGGATATGAATTCTGTCTTTACAATGTAACTTTGTTGGTCTTATGTTTGGCTGTGTTCTTTCCATTAGCATTTAAAAATTCAAATGCCTGGTAAGTTAAATGAGAAATTTCTTTAACATCTCTCTATTCTATAAGAATTATTTCGTGATCATGTTTATTAATTATTATTTTTTTTTTGTCAAGATCATATTCATTATTAAATGTATTTATTTCTTATTTGCTTTCCGCTCCTGAAAATTTTGTGTATATATTATATCTCGAGATGATGCATTGGGTACTTTTCTAGCTATTATAAATTTTGAAACATCTTGTGTTAGTAAATAATTGATAATGTTTTAAAGTTGAAGATCCTCCAGGTCTATTTGATCTTTTCACTTTGCACAAAAAGATGACCATGAATGATTATTTATTTATTACTTATATAAATATCGGATGATTCGGAAACATACAATTTACTTGTTAATCGCTAATAACCAAAATAATATCCACATATGCTTTTCGCAAAACGGTTGAGTCGAACACAAATTTTTCTCAAGGTACTTTAAAAAAAAATACGATTACTCGTTTTTACTATTCATCGTCAGGGTCAATGAGCGCCATGTTTTTTCCACCGCCAACCACTACACGAATCCGACTTTTCATGTCAAAGGGGCTTCCATCATACGCGACAAAATTTGCCCTGTTGCCTTTAGTCCCGAGACCACATCCATAGTTCAACTCATCAAGTCCAAAAATTTTTCTCAAGTTCCAAGTGATAAACCCGACGGCTTCCTTTTCAGAAATCGATCCGCTTGAACTTCTCTGTGCCCAACCAGCATCCCAAACCAAATTTCTCGCAAGCCCAGAATCGCTCACACCTATTCCTACTGTCACTTTGTGTGCGTGAAGTATGTCAATTCCCATTTTGTCGTCAATTGGAGCTCCGGTAAGTACATTCTGAGCTGTCCACAATTCAGGAGTTGGACGTGGTGGCAAGAGCACAACAGGAATTTTATGTTTGGCTAACTCGGGAGCTAAAAGATGTGCTTCCGCTCCGCCTAAAATTACAAACTTTACCTTACATCCGTATGATGAGACCTTCTCTTTTAAACGAATCAAGGATGCTATTTCATCTTTACTATGAGTATACACAATCAGAGGGATCTTTCCATGTGCGGCGAGACCGAACATATTGTCACTCGAATTACTTGTTAAACCATTTATCAAGATTCTCCGTAGATGTGCAACTTGACCGGATACAGTAGGGATTTTTTCTGCTCATGATTTACTTATGAGATTAGTTTGTCAATTCAACGATTAAAGATCATATAAATGTAATGTTAATACCATCTTTGAATGGGGTGCCTATCTGGGCATGAAGTGCAACCGATTCTTTAAGAATCACTTCTCCATCCTTATGATCAATGACTTTATAAAATAATTAATGAAAGAAATTAATTCATTTTCCCATTTTCTTTATATCCGGAAATTAAATGTTACCTGTTTGAGCGCCTGTTTTGAAGGCGACTGATATTCCCGTAATAACTCCTCTATATGAGAGGGGTGAGGTTATGGCCGTGAGCACTCCAGACCTATATGCGACTTCTAAATGTTTGCCTCCCAATTTCAACCCGTCTACTGCGTGAATCACATGATTTATATCATCGGAAGTTACAATTCCATCTTTGGTAGATTCTTCCGCACTAATTTCAGATAGTCCGAGATCAGAGCCGACGGCTGTTACACCCTGTATTCAACAAATATGATAACACACTTTGAGAGCTGTTTGTGATTTCATCAATATATATATGTATAGTCAACTTACAGGTATCACGTAACCGTTATTCAGGTCAATCACTTCGTATAACGAAATTTGTTCGGGGGAAGTACAATTTATGCCAACGCATTCGATAAATCCATCTTTGACCACGATGCTAATTTTTTCTTCTGTTTTCGATTGATAAGTATCCATTGTGTTGGCTTCATCAATAAATACTTTTCCAATATTCTTTACAATAAATGATGTCGCCGTTCGCGATTTACGAGACAGATCAGATGAATTTAACTTATTCTCCAAATTCTGAAATCCGGATGAATCCTTCCCTAGCACAGAAATGTCGGTATTAAACTGAGGGATTCCGTCTATATAAACTTCTAGCGGTGCCGATCCCAGAGAAAGCGGATAATCGTTCCAAATCTAGAGGATATCATCAATAGAATTAAATCGAAACATTAAGATGTGTACTAATGTTAAAGATAAATTTATTTACCACCACATCGGCATCATATCCGACGGAAATTTGCCCGATTCGATAGTCCAAACCTAGGGCCCTTGCTGGCACAGACGTAACGGCGGCCAGAGAAAGTTGATCGTCAAGACCATAATAACGGGCTTTAGCTGCTTCGAAGATTAAGTGTTGCTGGATGTAGTTTTGATAACGAGTCATCAATATATTCCAATTGAGTGAATTATCATAGTAGATTTTTCTTGCAACTATGATAACCTACCGCATTCAAGACTGGATGATCGGACTTTAGAGCTACGGGAATATTCGCGTCACTCAGAATTTTAGGTGACTTAGTACTAGCTTGAAAAGCCTCCTTCTTATAACCCCAGAGATCAGAAAAGGTGGCGACTGTAATATTACCCCTCGCGCGTTTTATGACATCCGGAATGCGATAAGCATCCAAGCCGTGATGAATAGCGGTAATAGTGAAATCGAATTCCAATGAGTGTCGAATCATTGCTTCAATGTCGTGTGTCTGTAGAGTCGCGTAAAAATTATTGAATAATATGTACGTTGTTTCTCGGATAGAGAGATATATGTAAGATGAGGACAAACCTCATAACAATGGACATTTAATTTCGCATCCCCTCTTAATAAAGCTACTAGACCATCATTCTGAAGGTCTTCTGGAAAAGGAGTACTCATCCGTGCATTATTGCCAATCTTTGCGGAAATACTACACCAATCGTCCTGTAGCATTTTTAACTTCTTCGCTTCGGCAAATCGTTTTCGAAAGAGCCAGGCTTCTCCCATACGCGTGGAAGGTATCACACCACGATATCTACCATAGGCTCTCTTTTGCGGGCAAGGAGATTAACAATATAGAAATGAACAAGTATACCAAACGACCATTTTCTTACCTTCGGATTCTCGCCGCAAGCCATTTTCAACCATCGCCATGACCTTTCTTTGCTTTGGCTTATGTTTGCAGTAACGCTCATATCATCTACAGAGAGTGTATTAACTGGTCGCAATTTAATCGCATAGCCTTCTCCACCCATGACGTTGCCACTCCCCGGAAGAACTATGAAATAGTTATGTTTAAGTTATTAACCCAGAAGTTATTATGCTAAATGTTATGTTCTCAGTAAATTTCATACCCAATGATGTGGTGACACCGCCAGATGCAATGATTCGAATTGCTGAAATATATTTGAAAGAAATGGTCTGAAAATCTGTTTAGCATTAACGCAGTTAAATCAATATAACAGGTCCTAACCAGGGTCACTCGGATTGAGACCATCTTGAGCACGGACCTAGAAAAAGAGATAATGATCATTCGATAACACGTCAACTAAACACAGAAGAACCAGAGATTATTATCGGCAATTAAATACAAACGTAAGGTGTAAGCGGATTGGTCATCTCGTTTGTGTCAGAAGTAGCCGCCAAAAAGGGCCATGAATCGACACCCAAGTGACTGTATAACTCTAAAATATTTATTCACGAAAACGTTGAAGAAGAGAATCTTCACAGAAAAAACACCACCTACCTATGCATATCAACAAGACCTGGGGTGACAAACTTTTTCTTCAAATCGATAACTACCGCGTCTTCGTCATACGAAAGATCTTGACCAATCGCAACAATAATACCATTTTTCAAAATTATATCTCCAACGATAGTTTCCCCAATTCCATTTAGAATAATTCCATTTGTTAATGCGTAGGTTTTTGTACCAGGAACGAATCGTGGGTTACTACGTTGTACACCTTCGAAAATGTTATTTGGTTTCGCGCGATTTATTGCAGCACACCTAGAAAGTCCGTATCTATAGGCTTCTAGAGATATGCCGGAGTTGGTTTCATTCGGAAGAATGTGAATGTCACGTATCGCCCAAAGGGTCGTGAGCACGACAAAAAGGCAGATAGTTATAAATAGCCGCTCGAGGGAGATAGAATTAAGAAGCGAAATTTTTCGTTTCTTGAATGTTGTACTGCCTTTTCCATAAAAATCTATCGAACTGAGTTCCTGACTTGTCGCCATTTAAATGATATGAAGTTACGTACCAGTACGTAATTTTGCTGATCATTACTTTTCACATGAAATCGTAATTTGTGCTGTGTCGATCACGCTCAGAGCACGTATAAAATCGGCAATATGCAGAGAGTTCTGGAAAAGCGCAGCAGCTTCACGGTTGGTAAACAATGCAATATTAATAATTAAATCTCTATTTGCTATTTATTTTACTGATTATTATTTTTAATTATAGTAAGTATCTTATATTATTTTGATTATCAATGACAAAGAATATCGAATTATCAACAATGATGTAATGATGACAATTCGATATTCTTTGTCAAATATAAA